CTGAGAAGGGGAAAGTTGGGGCGAGGGTTAAAAATAGCAGCCTGACATGAACCAAGGTGGAAATCTACCGAATGTGAAAAGTTGTCACTGTTCATTGAAGTGGGATAAAATGATAGGGGGGTTGTTTAACCACGCTTGTTCTTTTAAATTCCTGATCCAAACAAAGATATTTTAGTCTTGATCCTAAAGGTGATATTTTGATAATTGATTAACATTTTAGAAATAAAATATTCCACTGGAAATTTGTGAGAAATTTTTAAATTTTGATTCATGATTGATTTAAAATGGATAAAGTCTTTTGACGGATAGTATGATTCTGGGAAATCATTTGAAACTTTTAGAGGGACTACTGTGATACTAGCATTATAGAGAATCTGACTTGAGGAGCTGGTTTGGGCAAAGCCTCCAGTCTTTGTATTTAGGTCAACTTCATAACCTAAATGTTAAATGCTCAGTTGTTCTCTGAACTCGACCTCCATTTTAGTTCATGAGATTTGCTCATAGACGTCACATGAGAACCAGGGACAGCTGCAGCAAAGCTGTTTTGCTTGTTCTTTCAACTTCGGCCTTCATTCTCCTTTAAATGTGTGTGCTTCCACCTAGTGGCAGAGTTCCTAAATTATTCATTTGGATTCTAGCAACTGTGGCTTTGTGTGTGTAAAATTAGATTATATCATATAATATGTTTGTTTGTGAACATCTTGCCATTCATGACAGTCTGTGGTCATAACAGTTTACAGCTCCCTTAACTTACTGGAAAAGAATGACAAACAATTGCTCATAGTATGCAATCCTTTCCCTTCCATGGATAGCCACTTTCTCTTCCTTCTTCTGTTCCTTAATCATCCTCTCTTCTTCTTCTCTTCCAGCGTGAATGCATCTCTGTCCACGTAGGCCAGGCTGGCGTCCAGATGGGGAACACCTGCTGGGAGCTCTACTGTCTGGAGCACGGCATCCAGCCGGACGGCCAGATGCCGAGCCACAAGCCGATAGGAGGTCACGACGACTCCTTCACCACCTTCTTCAGTGAGACTGGGGCTGGGAAGTACGTCCCCAGAGCGATCTTTGTTGACCTGGAGCCCACTGTCATTGGTCAGTAGTATTGTGGAATGGAGCTTGTTTTATCAGGAATTAGTGATTGCATGTATCGTAGTATCACCATTGCAATATGTCGCTTTTAAGTGAAAATGGAGAGAAAATCATCAAAGCCTCCTCTAAAGAGGAAGTTGTCATCTTACCTATTTCAGAAATTAAGTGTTTGAAGTCAGCGTATTTTAAAACCATTAACAGTATTTATCAACATAAGGTTAACTTTACTGACTGAAGTAATTGAAATATACATCTTCCAAAAGTTTCCTTTTCATATCTTTTACCAAGCAACACAAGCAGGTCTGCATGGTGTACTGTCTTAGTGGCCTGGTCAAATGCTGTCTCCACTAATAGCACTTCATATCTCAGATGTGTAAGTTTTTCCAACTCTTGCTTTTGTCTTCAATTTTCCAGATGAGGTGCGCACAGGAACGTACCGCCAGCTCTTTCACCCTGAGCAGCTGATCTCAGGAAAGGAAGACGCAGCCAACAACTATGCTCGTGGACACTACACCATTGGCAAGGAGATCATTGACTCTGTCCTGGACAGAATCCGCAAGCTGGTAAGGCACTCTAAGGGTAGCCATCTTGTTTTAATTCACATTTACACATTTTTTCCCCTTTCCATACATTTAATCCCCAATTTCCCTGGATCTGTGCACTGAAAACTTGTATACTTGTTCAGCCAAGCATGGATCAGCCTGTCAAATCTAACAGTCAGACCTGTGCACAAACTTGAACTCGAGCACCAGTTTATATTCAATGTCTTAAGTGTCAATGTCGCAAGTACAGCTGCCAAGAATGGGTTTGTCTACAGCCTACGTTAAACCAAATGTAGCTCTCTAATAAAATATGCTATTATTGTACAAGACACTAGGGTTGTCATAGGTAAATATTGGAAGAACTTAAACATGTATAGAAATCATATAACGCTTTCTCAGTATTTTTTTTTTTAATGCAAGTGTTTGCAATCATTTCTTTTTGTATCTGTAGGCTGATCAGTGCACGGGCCTCCAAGGCTTCCTGGTCTTCCACTCCTTTGGTGGAGGCACTGGCTCTGGTTTCACCTCCCTGCTGATGGAGAGACTCTCCGTCGACTTTGGCAAAAAGTCTAAGCTTGAGTTTGCCATCTACCCAGCTCCCCAGGTTTCCACAGCTGTAGTGGAGCCTTACAACTCCATCCTCACCACCCACACCACCCTGGAGCATTCTGACTGTGCCTTCATGGTGGACAATGAGGCCATCTACGACATCTGCCGCAGAAACCTCGATATTGAACGCCCATCCTACACCAACTTAAATCGCCTGATCAGCCAGATTGTGTCTTCAATCACAGCCTCGCTTCGTTTTGACGGAGCCCTGAATGTTGACCTGACAGAGTTCCAGACCAACTTGGTGCCCTACCCTCGTATCCACTTCCCTCTGGCCACCTATGCCCCAGTCATCTCTGCTGAGAAAGCCTACCATGAGCAGCTGTCAGTTGCTGATATCACCAATGCTTGCTTTGAGCCAGCCAATCAAATGGTGAAGTGTGATCCTCGTCATGGTAAATACATGGCCTGCTGTCTGCTGTATCGTGGTGACGTGGTGCCCAAAGATGTGAACGTAGCCATCGCAGCCATCAAGACCAAGCGCACCATCCAGTTTGTGGACTGGTGCCCCACAGGCTTCAAGGTCGGCATCAACTATCAGCCTCCAACTGTGGTTCCTGGTGGAGACCTGGCCAAGGTGCAGAGGGCCGTGTGCATGCTGAGCAACACCACAGCCATCGCTGAGGCCTGGGCCCGTCTCGACCACAAGTTTGACCTCATGTATGCCAAGAGGGCCTTTGTCCACTGGTATGTTGGGGAGGGCATGGAAGAGGGAGAGTTCTCAGAGGCCAGAGAAGACATGGCTGCCCTGGAGAAGGATTATGAAGAGGTGGGGATCGACTCATTTGAAGAGGATGAAGAAGGAGAGGAATATTAGGCAGGCTTAACTGTAATTTGCCAATGATATTCAGGGACAAAATTAGTCAGTTATTTATTAAGTAGAAAAAATAGAACATTCTGCATGTTGGTTTGAAATTCAGAAATATTTGATTTTATTTGCCTTTTTTTTTAATGTAAAAATTTACCTTCAACCTAAAGGTCTGAAGTTATTTCTTTGTTGTGCCATGAAAATTCTTACTTTTGACAGCTTTTGTGTCAATTTCTACCCATTTAATTTGTTTTATCAAAACAATAAAACATTGTGCAATAATTTAATTTTCATGTTTGAAAATAGTTTTGTTGCTCAATAAATCTTGCCTGCAAATTTGCTGCTTTCTGTTTATTTTTTGACTGGAGCATTAAAAAGAAACCCGTTTCCATGAAGCATGAAACATTTGTAGATATCCAGTCTCACTGTTTTGTACTACATACAGGTAAAATGTCAAGCTAGTGTCAATCCCTCACCAAACTGTTGGAATGTTTAATGTCTGCAGTTTTATAGTTCAGCCACTAGAGTACAGTCAAATCCTGGTCTGAAAAATTATTTGAAGCTGCATATGAAATGGTGAAGATCAAAGCTGATTTCTCTTTCTCTCTCTCTCTCTCTCTCTCTCTCTCTCTCTCTCTTTTATTTGGCACATTAACAGACAAGAAATAGCAAAGGTTTTGCTTTCTAAGTATAAAGATATATGTATAATGCTATAATACTTGTGCTTCACATGAACTCTTGTGGTGAAATCACTTTCACTGTATGCTGGGAAGACCAGACCCCTGTAGTCATAAACATTATTGGGAAAATGACTGCTTTTTCACCTTTGGATAACTTCAGAACAGCTCTTTTAACTTAAGTCCATTTTCAGCTAAGATTAATAATAAGTATCCATGGTAATTCCTACATTTGCCTGCGATAAATTATTTGTAAAATACAAGGTTTGTATCAGGATATCTGTATTTACCTCAGTATGAAAATGCAAGGTAGTTGAAGTGGAAAAAGGTAGAAATGGGATAAATGCCTTTAAAGATCAGAAGAGTGAAATTAATGTTGGCATACTGGATTAATGTCCAGGGACAATGTGATAAACATCCTGCCAAAAGTGTGTTAAGAGGCCGCTGGCAACATAGACAAATATCACATTTTGGGTGGACAGCTGATGCAAAGGCAGAAGGCCCAAGGTTATACCCATCACAGTGCAGCCCCACAGTTTTGATCTCTTCCATTCCTCTGTGGTTATTCTTCTTAACAAATGTTGACCTCAACATATAGCAGGAACTGACCTCCAATATCATATATAATCCATAATTATAGTGATAAGTATTTTTCATACTTAACACAGATGGCTCCAAAGATCCTGATACATGGTGTGCAGGTGTAGCAGTGTCCCAGTGAGTGAGTCATTTATTAGGATAGGGGCAACAGACCATTACACCAAAGAGCTATTGGCATTATTATTGGCCCTGCAGTGGATGTTGGAGGAGGACATAAATAACATCATCATTGCATCTGATAGTATACTTTAAAAACATACAATCTGGAAGATCATCATTTAGGACAGATAATATCAATGACATATTCCTCAAAGTGGAGTGGATATTCTGGCCAAACAAACTCAGAATTCAACAAGTCCAATTCAGCAAAGCTGAAGCCAAGACATTCATCAGGACATATTGTATGCACAGCCAGTATGGCAGGAGTATTGGGATGAGAATGAAACTAGAAGACATGAATACAAATACATGTCGGTGCTGGGAAAATGGATGGCAATGAAAATGTTGGGAGGAAAATATCACCCATGTGAGAATAGGTCATACAGGAATAATAAGGAAGAAGAAGAAGAAGAAGGAGGAGGAGGAGGAGTAGAAGAAGAAGAAGAAGAAGAAGAAGAAGAAGAAGAAGAAGAAGAAGAAGAAGAAGAAGAAAAAAAAAAAAAAGAAAAAGCAGCCGCAGCAGCAGCAGCAGAACAACAACAACAACAACAACAACAACAACAACAACAACGCTATGGCAGCGCTCTCTATTGCAGGTTGTTGAGCGTTCGACAGGTGGCAGACATCAACTGGACGACGACACAGTGGTGGTGTAACATCCAACAGTAGAGCCACCTGAAGTCTCTCAACGTTGAAAATGGCAACGCGTTGGGGAATATGCAGTGCAGGAAGAATTAGTCACGACTTCTCGGTTGCCTTACGGACCCTGACTCCTGAGGATCATGAGGTAACTTGTCTTATGTTTTTTTTTTCAGTTAATATACTAAATACATAACACACATATCGATTATCAAAACAAACGACCGTAACTACGTATAGGACATAGACAGGTCAATAACTTACACCTTTAATTAGAACTCAAGCGCTAAGGAAATACCTAGGCATCTAGATTGATGATAAATGTACTTTTAAAACTCACATGGACAACTTGACTCACAAATGAAGGATGCAACTTGGCTTTCTGTATAGGAGCGTGTCCCGTCTCCCAGTGAGTAGTAGGAAAAGTATTGTGGAGGTGACGTTTCTCTTTGCACTAGATTATAGAGATGAAAATGTGTATCGTTGCTATTAATATATCTCTTTTATTTTTTTTTCTGTACTCAGGTCTCACCTGTAGGCTATATGTGATCTTGATCTCAATGTGACTTCCTGATTAAATAAAGTATTAAAATAATAATTTTGCCACACCCTCATTTCCATTTCATTGAGGTGCCCTTGAGCAAAGCTCCCACCTACATCAGATTGTGGTTGTACTGGAAGCTATATGTAAATGTATGTAACTGTTTTTGGGCAAGGCCACAATGAGTGAGGTGATGTCTGCCCTAATAAGTAACTTCTGTCTCCAGATGACAGAGAGTTCAGCCCTTAACTACTGCACACCTCCAAACATATCTCTGCATGACAGTACTTTCCATACGAGGTGGAGAAAATGTGTGATCAGTGCTCGTCACATTCACTTCCCACAAGTGCAATTAAACCTTGTTGTTTTGGACACCACACCCATTATACCTTTGTTAGCATTACTAAGCTGGGAGAATACAGAAATGTGTCCGTACATCCTGAAATGTGTGAGGTAATGAGTGAAATTATCTTTCACTGTTTACTGTTTTATTCATTTCTTCAATAATGGTTTTATCTGTGTTTCATTAATTTAAAGAGTTCTGCTCATATTTTCATTGATATTTAAATTTTGTAATACAAATCATTGTACATAGATGTTACATTAACAAAACTGTTTTTTCTTTCTCAGATAGTGGCTGTTGCAGCCAGGAACCTGCAGCATGCTGAAGAATTTGCCAAAAAGCACAACATCCCTCGATCATATGGAAGTTATGATGACTTGGCAAAAGATCCAGACATTGGTGGGTTCTTCAGTCAACATGTAGCGTAATGTTTCGGTCTAAAGTGAATTAACAATTTCTACTTAGCTGAAGTGTCTATCGGCCAGTCACTGAATCTCTACCTGCTCCAGGAATGTTTATATTTAGCGGACTCTGAATTGCAGACTTGGATATAAGTAAAATACTAAATAATGTTTCTAAACACTAGTCTCTCTGTTCCTCTCTCTCTAGATGTGATATATGTTGGCACCATCCACCCTTACCACCTTAGTACTGGCAAGCTCTTCATAAAGTCTAAAAAGCATGTGTTGATTGAGAAGCCCCTAGCCATGAATTCAAGGGAGGTGCAGGAACTCATCACTGCAGCTCGAGACAACACTGTCTTTCTAATGGAGGTAATATTTAGCATAGAAATATATCCCTTTTCCACCAAAATCACATTTATCATTTACCATTTACCTCTCCAATCCATCCCATGTCTTTCTCCCAGGCAGTTTGGACACGTTTTTTTCCCGCATCCCTGGAGATGAGAAGACTGCTGCACCAAGGAGAGGTAGGTGATGTTCAGATGGTGAGGGCTGAACTGGGGCATCGGTACTCTCATGTCCCCCGCGTGACTGAGAGGAAGCTAGGAGGGGGTGCAGTGTTGACCCTGGGCGTCTACTGTCTGCAGTTAATCTTCATGGTCTTTAATGGCGAGAGGCCTGAGTCCATCCAAGCCACAGGGCAATTCATAGACACAGGTGATGTCAATTTCTTAAAATGATCACTATAGCAAATAAATACTCATACTTTAATAAAATATCTACTATTTAAAAGCCCTGATACCTATTCTTACATAGAGTCTAGTGGTATTTTATCAAGAAAACTCAAAGACACTTAAGTTTCCAATGAATTCAAATCTCTCTCTACATTGTCCAGGCGTTGATGGGACTACAGTTTTGGTCCTGAAGTTTGCAGGGAACAGACTTGCCATCTGCACTTTTTCCATCACCATGATGCTGACCTCCGATGTGGTTATCATTGGGACCAAAGGCACCATTAAGGTAACAAGAAACACAGCATGCAATAGGAAAGGTAGAAATATCTCTGCACAGAAATACTTAATTGATCAAATATCACAGGTATGTTAATATGTTAATGTACAACACTTCATGCGAGGCGAGTTATACCTCACTGATTTCCACATAAGGTACCCCAACCTATGTGGTGTCCTACAACGTTGGAGGTGAATGGGAAGGAGATGCAATTTCCCCTGCCAGAGCCTGGCATGCCATTAAACAACATTAACAGTACAGGTCTACGATATGAGGCTGAGGAGGTTCGCCACTGTCTGCTCAAAGGTACAAGATGCACTATAGCATTAAATTAGAACAGCTGCAGCATTTACAATTGATCCACATTGATCACAAATATATTATTTAACATTTTAACATTTTCACTCCTTTTTTACAGTATATCCAAGTGTGAATGTAATATGTAAGATTTAAATAGCTTCTCCTGACTAATAAACAATTCAGTGACAAAATTTTCAGTGTGAAAAGATATAATTGGCTTCTTTGTTAGTATTGTGCTAATAATATAAGATAAGAGGGAAAAAGGGCATTCATTGGCTGGAGGTGTAAACAATACCTTGCACACACATGTGACTGTATCCTGAAATTGTCTCTTGCTTATCATCAGTTGTGATTTGTGGTTCGGCTGTAGGACTAAAGGAGAGTCCAGAGATGCCATGGTCTCACTCCAGCCTAATAGCAGAAGTTGTAGATGAGGCCAGAAGACAACTGGGGGTGACATATGACCAGGACAACATCCAGTGATGTGTGAGCAAAATGATGGAATGTGCCCTAGTGAAATCAGACCACATTTTTTGGTGTGTGTGTGTGTGCGTGTGGGTTTGTTTTACCAAAAACTGGGAGCCCACTATATTTGTGAGCTTCTTGGGGACCAAAATTCTAGACCCAACAAGTTTAAAGGGCTGTTTGAGGGTTAAGACTTGGTTTAAAGGTTAGGGTTATTAAGGGTTGGACATTTAGTTGTGATGGTTAAGGTTAGGGTAAGCGGGTAAGTTGTGTGTGTCTGTGTGTTTGTGTGTAATAACATTAACAGTGGTTGTTGGAGTCAAATATAATGGCTAGTGGGGTAGGCTTAGTGTGTTTGAGACCCATAGATGAGGCAGGAATCCAAGGTTCAAGAATGCAAAAGAATGCATTGCTGTTTAATTTCATTTTCATCTCTTTGGAGGTTTCTTTTTAATGTGTGTGGTTTATGTTCTACAAAGAGAGAAAAATTATTGACATGAATAAAATCTCAACACAAATGGTGTGCGATAAAGGTAAATCAAATATTAAATAATGAACCTCACTTACAGAACACACACAACATGGCTGACGTCAAAAAGAAACTTTCAACTAATGTTTTGATTTTTGTTCTTTCATTTTCAGGTATTTTGTACAAACTGTTGGTTAATGGTTAAATATTGAACCTCTTCAATAATTTTCATATATAACATTAAGAAATTGTAAAAAAAAAAAAAAAGAAAAGTTTTCAGTATTGGTTGCTCAGCAACAGTACAGACACCTTTCATCTTTCCAGAAGTGCGTGGCTCTCAGGAAATATAGTGCACAGAGTAGTGCACATGCGAGTGTGATACTCTAACAGTTGTGAGAGCATGTTGGACATTTTAGGTAAACCTTAACACTGTCTAAAACCCACTTTCAAATTTGTGAAACCATTATTCTATTTGTGAAAATGTAAAAAAGGGGATTTCACTGCACTTCACACCTAGACCTCATTGGACCAGGTACAGATCAAAAACCATTATATTTAGATTTGTAAAATGTGGAGTAGATTGCTGCAGAGAGGCTAAAGTTTCTTGAAAACACAGTTTCAGTTTTAAAGGTCAAAGGTCAAGGTCATTGTGACCTCACAAAACATGTTTTGGCCTCTTGAATGTGATATCTCAATACCGCCTTGAGAGAATTTCTTCAGATTTGGCACAAACATTTCCTTACACATTTCCTTACATGATGATGTAGATTTGAATTAAAGTCTTCTCCACTGTAAGTAATGGTAGGAAAATAGTGAATCCTTTTGTTTGTTGAATTTCTAAATCCACATCATTACTTTTGCTGCTTTGAAAATCAAAATCTGCACATTCCATCTCTGTTTCAGATGAAATTACTGTAATTAAATGACACCCCCCTCCTACACTGGATTAGTTTGCATGTCAGGAGTATGGTCATGGTCACGCCTGTGAAGTCCCTTTCCTCCTGGGTGGGATGCACATCCTGCAAACCAATCGGTAACACTAACCCTCAGACTGCTGTTGCACTGAGTATGCTGTCACTGACACTTTTCGAAAGCTAGAGGTCGTAGTTTTCTTACCACAAGTCACTGAGGGAGTACAGCATCAGAGACAGTGTAATGTCTCAGACTGGAGGTCACTGGCAACAGCCAGGGCTGGAGGCTTTATGACCCAATCCCAATGTCCCCCCTAAGGCCTGAACCCTGAAGCCTCACAGACTTAACTGACGTCACCTGGTAGAGTAAGAGATCGAATGTGAGAGGCTGCAAGAGCTAAAAATGGTATAAAGAGGAATCGGACAGGACTCTGTGACATATCAGTTATTTTGACGACACCAAAACAAGTTGCATACAATTCTGGCTTTGGGACTTTTGATATTACATTTGTTACTTCCTCCCTTTTAGTAATGTTGATCTGATAAAAGCATATTTGGAATTTGTCATCATACCATCATAGGACAAATAACTACACACGGTTCTGGCTCTGAATCATCAGTGAACTATGTGCTTATACTTACTGTGGGTTAGAAAAGTGGACTTCCGTTTAGTGTTCTTTAAGGTCCCAAAATATCTGCTTGAGAGGCCTCATGTACTTGTTGATTTTACGGCCCTAAGCCCTTATGGACTTACCAAGAACGAGCCTCAAAGTCCATGAGTCCGTGAGGATGGACAGTAGGATTTTTGTCCGTCCATCCTGCGATATCTCAGTAGGCTAATGCCTTGAGAGAATTTCTTCAAATTTGGAACAAGCATTTACTAGGAATCGAGGATGAACTGATTAGATTTTGGTGCTCTGAGGTCACAGTGAATTCACAAAACATGTTTTAGGATAAAACAATAGGATAAAATGATGAAGAGATGACATTTTATATCTGAATGGTCAAATGTCAACATCACTGTGACATCATAATGTTGTGCAAAAATACTTCAAGCCATTATTCAATGCTATAACTCAGGAAGAGGAGATTGTGAACATATTTCCTGCAACTTGGCTGGGTGGCAGAGGCATACAACTGCGAGGCGGCATTTTTTATTGTCTGGTATAGACATCACTTTTGTTGCCTGGAAAATCAAATCATACCTTGATTTGCCACAAGTAGATTAAGGGTAATACTTTAATTTGTGTCCCCCCTATTCAGTGTTTATGTAGCAGTATATGAAGATTTAATAAATGGTAAACACTATAATGTAGTTAACAACTTAAATGTCCTTATATCTGCTCCACTACATTATAGTGTGTTATAAATCATTTATTACATCTTTACTGTTTATAAATACTAAATAGAGGGACTTCAAATCATAAATTGTCAAAATAACAATACTTACAACAATATAGCACAGATGGAAGAGCCATGATGGCCTTATATGACCTGTTCTGAGGAGATATGGTAGCATACTATAACAGCAATACAGCTATTACTCGAATTTTATTCATTGTACAATGTAGGACATTCATTTCACTCAGCTGAATAGGTCAACAGTTGCACGTGAATTGACAATGTACATTTTAGTGCACTGATGGATAAAATAAGATGAGTTTAAGATTTATTCTATAATAAAAAAATAATATAATAAAAAATATTAGTGCCTCATCCTATAGAGACATGTGGAATGTCAATTTTTTGTGTTATTGAAATTGTAATAGAAACCTCTTCCACTTAATGCTGTGCTTTTTGTTCTTTCATTTTCAGGTAATTTGTACATATCTCATAGAGTCTCATGTGTCTCAAGTGAAAAGGGAAAAGATCTGCTGGGTTGTTATTTTTACAATTTTCATTTAATTCACTTATTAAGAAATATCTTTAAATATTTAACTCCATCAACAATTTTCGTATTTGACATTAATGTAAATTCACTAATTATAATGAAGAAATAAAAAAAAGAAAAGAAAAAAAGTTAATTGTTGGTTGCCCGGCAACAGTACAGACGCTTCTCACCCTTCCGGAAGTGCGTGGCTCTGAGGAAATATGGCGCATAGAGCAGTGCACATACCAGTGATATTCATTGTTTCAACCTATTCCTTTACCGCATTCTGTTTGTATATTTTCGTTTCTTTTGCACCATTTGAAACAGTAAACGCTGACAATGTGTTCAGTGCAAGCCACACAACTACTGTACCCGTTGCTGCCGCCAGGGATTTACGGTGAGTTTACACACTCTCACGTTGCTGTTAGCTAGTTATGCTAACGTAAAATTAGTAACAGTAATTCATTTTTTTCAACTGTAACGGTATGTTTCATTTTTACAGTAACTACAGTTACAGTCTTGTCGTTTTAAGGCTGTATTTCTGTCCCATTTTCCAAACGTGAACGCTTGTGTTAAACCCTGCAATCTTGATGAGACTGAAAGGTGTACCTGACTCCATTCTAAAAGTTGGCCATTTAATGAATTCCTCCGTGTAGGAACCACACACCCTTTGCAGATTTATAAACAAACATAATTTTCAAAACACTATTGTGTTGAAGTGAAGTTCGGCGGATAAATGGTTCATCAATAGGCACTACATAGAATTACAGTCTCCCCTTTACTGCACAGATGTAGCGTTAACGTTGTTGCTAACTGCAATAAACTTAGAATCGCAGCGAGCAGGGCTGATTATGTTCTGATGCTGATTTATTCGATCAAATCTAATATGGTATTAACGGAGAAATCATGTTGAACAGATGAACAGCATTCCTGTGTGAAATGATAAAGGAATTGGCCGTTAGTTTGGGAATGTGATTTATACATGTGTCACATAATGTAAGTACTGAATAAGATTTAGACGTTTGTTGACATAAGGTGAGTGTGTAAGGTGAGTTACTTACTGATTGTTTTACCCGTGCATTGGGCATGTATATCGTATCAAGAATTTGCACTGCATTGCAGCAACATTGTTCCTACCTTGCTTTTGTTATACAAATAATATTTGACATTTTACATTGGATCAAAAGATGCTTTTCTGCTGAATGTGGCAGATTTGCTGTATTATGAAGACTATCCTTCACACTAGCTCATTTACCAAAGAGCTTGCTGCTGTTGCCTTTTTCCATCTAGGACTTATTTGAACTCCAAGATCTTTTGTCCTCTCTTGGCATCACAGGTATTTGTTGTATGACGTGAACCCCCCGGAGGGTTTCAACCTGCGGAGAGATGTGTATATCCGCATGGCCTCCCTGGTGAAGACTTTGAGGAAGGAAGGGGATGACTGGGTATTGGTGCTTCCTCCATGGGGTCGTCTCTACCACTGGCAGAGCCCCAACATCCACCAGATCCGCATCCCCTGGGGAGAGTTCTTTAGCCTCACCAGCCTGCAGGCCAATGTGCCTGTCATTGAGTATGAGGAATTCATTGCTGGTAAGCTTTTTGTTTTGGTGACCCACGCTAGGGTTGCATTTACTGAAAGATTTATATGTGAACCCATTGAAACCTTATTATCTACATATGGTTTATAAATAAGCTGAACATATTTTAGTGTTTTTATACCTTAATACATACCAGTGGTTACATTTCACAATGCACAGACACCACTTTTTAATCAGCTGTTAAAACAGTGCTCCTTCACAGTCTAGGTTTATTGGGTTTGTTAAAGCCAATCAATCAGTCAGTGTGTTTTATTCTTCTCTTTATTATTCCTCTCTATTCCTCTTTAGAGAATGGAGGCCCATTCATAGACCAGGTTCTAGTACTGCAAAACTACGCTGAGGGATGGACTGATGGAAAATGGGAAGAAAAGGTTGATGAACGGTCATGCATTGAGAAGTTGATGTACTCCAAAGATAAACAGGGCTACTACAGGTAAATCAATATAATGCACAAAACCCACACCATTACTTTAAAACACAAAGTATAAACAGTTAAGCCAAGGGTGTCGATGTCAGTGTGGTGGATGCACACACAAATTGTTTAAGTTTTTGAAACCATAGACGGTTTTCATCCTGTTTCATATTAGTCTGTTTTGATAATCTTCAAACCTAGTTGCCATGGAGCTGTTGTTTTTTAAACTTGGTGGTTCTCCTTTTCTGTCATGACTTCTTTTGGAAACAAACACAAAAAAGCTGTTTATTGTTTTCACATGAGACAGATTCATTACACTTTGGTGCCAAAGAAATTGAATTGTAACTGCAGTAGAATAACTGAATAGACCTTCTTCAGACAGTGATTGAACACATTCGTAGTTATTCTGTATTAATTACATCTACATCTTCCTTCCTGTTCGCACATCTCTCTCCTCTCCATCCATCATCAACTGTCTCATTTATCTTGTCTGTCTGTGTTTTTCCAAGGGGCTGGTTTTGGGGCTATGAGGAAACAAGAGCTCGAAATGTGAGCTGTATATCAGCCCAAGGTCACGCCTCTATCATGGCCCCAGTTCTTCAGAAAAACATCACAGTGACGTGAGTCTACAGAGCAACATGTTTACATAAAATGCAGACTAATCACATACATGCACTGGGTCTTGACAACAAGCAACTAGCAGTTGCAGATTTGTGGCAGATATATCAATATTATTATTTTTGAATTATGTGGTTGTATTCAGATATTGATTTGACCCAGTACTCAATTCTTGAAATGGTTTACCAGACTTTTACAGTTGATCATAAAGATAAAATTTCAGACACTATGCATATGCAATCACTCAAAATTAGTGGACTCACAAATCTGGATTGTTTGATAGTAATTATGAAATATCCTGCCAGTATATTGTGCCGTAATTTTCTATCAAAACTCTGAATACTATGTTTGCGCATCTTTTTGAAAATTGAGTATGTTTTAATAAATTCAGTTTTGCTGTGTCCCTGAGATGCTAAAGGTAGCAAGAGATCTCAAAATGTTTTTATGTACATCTACAGTTAATTTTACCAATGTTATGAAAGTGAGTGTCATGAAGTTACTATCCAGACATAAAATGGATTATATGTGTCCAAAATAATCAGTCTCTAGTTAAAGCAGCCTAAGCATTAAGTATAAAATCCTCTATAAAACAGCTATGTCTTTGATCTCGCTGTTTATGAAAAGCTGAAAGATGATCTGACTTCATTGTTATTTAAGTGTGGTATAGCTTACTTTGTTCTCTCAGATCTCTGTGACATTGACAGGAAGAAACCTGTGTGTGTGTGTGTGTGTGTTTGTGTCTGTGTGTCTGTGTCTGTGTCTGTGTCTGTGTCTGTGTGTCTGTGTGTCTGTGTGTCTGTGTGTGTGTGTGCACTGCTGCTATTTTTCAGATCAGTAATGCTTGACCGAGCTGAGACACTCCTTCATGATCACTATGCTGGGAAGGATTACTGGGATGTAAGTCAAGTAATTGGCTATTGTCATACCTGTGTTAGAAATACTGGTGTCAGGTGCTGTGTGACACTCCTGATGCAGTGTTAACCTGTTACATTGCTGTGTCCTCACATAAAATAACGTACATGTGGAAGTGGATTTTTGTACTTTTAAGCCAAGGGTTTAAGGAACACCATCTTGTCTTTAAACTGATGTAGGGATCTCTACAATTGTCTGTGTTTCACTCAGACCCGCCGCAGCATGGTCTTTGCCAAGCACCTGCGACTCATAGGAGATGACTTCAGAGCAAAGTACCTGAATTCTACAGATGACAGAGACCACACCATTTACAGTGAGGATTGGACTCGCATGAAAGTGAGCCAGTGTGTCTGACTATGGTGTGATTATGTGGTTGTGCTGATGCTTCCATTTACTATGTGTTTACCATATACTGTAGGTGCTCTACTATTAGCTATAACTGCATTAGCATCATAAATTGAATTCTGGCTTTTATTTGACAATTTGCATTTTTTAAGATGATCACTTCAATCAGTCATTAAAATCCTTTCACATCAAATATGTATATTAGTATAACTATTAGTATAACCATTGTGGTTTACAGCATCTTAGCATTACATCTTCACAAACCCCCCACAATCATTACAAAGTATTGTAAGAGCATTTCCATAAAACTCTTTTTGAGTTTGTGTCTGCATTTGTTGAATTTTTTTTTCCAATTTCAGTGATTGACATTGTGATCACTAAACAACTATTCATTTCAGCAATTTGATTATCAAGTCTCAAGTGTTAATTTTCAAGGAATAATTGAACAGTGTTTTGCCTTTTCTCTGTTTCTTCAGGCCAAGCTGGGCTCAGCTAAAGGTGGTCCATATCTGGGGGTCCACCTGCGCAGAAAGGACTTTATCTGGGGTCACAGAGAGGATGTACCCAGCCTTAAGGGGGCAGTCAAAAAAATTCGCAGCTTGACGAAGAAGCACAAACTTGACAAAGTGTTTATTGCAACAGATGCAGATGAGGAAGGTAACTAGTCTTTTTTGTTTAATAGGAAAAAAATACATTGTGGTCTCAAACCATTTCAAATGGAGTTGACACAATAAGATAAAAATCTGTATTATAATGATATTAATAATGACAATGATAATGACCTAGTATTAGTAATCATTTTAGTAAGTAGTAGTAACATATCCAAAACTCATAGTCACTATAAATGCTTTCATAATCCTTTGTTATGCAATCTTGTAGAATTGAAGGAGCTGAAAAAGCTGCTGCCAGACATGGTGCGGTTTGAACCATCAACAGAGGACCTGGAGCTCTTTAAAGATGGAGGAGTGGCCATCATTGACCAGTGGATATGTGCTCATGCAAGGTAAATTAGTTTTCATGGTTTTGTTTCATGCATTCATTACATGATGGTTAGTATAGCAGTTTATTAGTCAGCTAATTGGTATGAGACAAATTGACACATTTTTATAAGCTCATGACTTTTTTTTAATTACAAATTCTTATATTTTTAAGAATATATACAAGAAAAAATGACGCCACATAAGTATGAAGTCACATTCAGACATCATGGGCACAGTACATCATACACACTGCTTAAATACATTTTTGATTAAAGGTGCCCTGTGGAGTTTTCTGGTGAACAGCAGGTCAAAGTAATTTGTCTGGTACTTTAGTTTACGACCAAATACCTGCATGACTATTGATATTCCCAACAGCTTCACAAGCTGCATAGCTGTAGACTCTTCTAGCATTATCATATTGGAGTTTATTAATTATAATAATAATGTATGATATAATGAAATATGTAATCCATCCGAGAACCTGCCCATGGAATATTTCGACTTGAAAAACTAGTTAGGATGACAGTGCATGTTACTGTCACTGTGTTATGTGCTCATGTAATTTTCCAGGGCAGTGTACTATTTTTATACACCTATTAATTATTTTATTTCTATTTTCAGAGTGTTCATAGGAACATCTGTGTCCACCTTCTCTTTCCGGATCCATGAAGAGAGGGAGATCCTGGGTTTTGACCCCAAAACTACGTACAGTCGTTTCTGTGGAGACACTGAGAAAGAATGCGAACAGCCCACACACTGGAAAATTGTTTATTGATGTGACCTCTGACTTACCTGACACACACAAGTGCCAAAAAGCAGTGTTAAAAGTGACATTTATTTGTATGGAATATAATAGGAAGATACTATAGCTGTTTTGTGGTGTATTTTTTATGGTTTCAGAGTTGTGCAATCAGGTCTGCAATGACCACTGTGACTGAACCTTAAGCTCAAAAGGCCATGACTAGCTGCCAAACATGAATTACTGTAATATTAAACCATGAAATCTTCATATATATTTTTTTGGTTCTATGTTGAATGTGGTTTCTTTCATGACACCTTGGTGTTTTAGATCATTTCTAATATTTGTTACTAATATTAGTACTGGTAGTAACTGGTGTCTTAAAATGACAGCAGCAGGCGCTGTTGTGTGGGAGTATTCTCTGTTTAACATTTCATGAGATAGAAATAAGGTTTAGTGCTGATGTTGATCATCTAAACTTTATTATATTTTGAAGAATATAGTGAATTAAACCACATACGTATGAAGTATCATGATTATAGTACATAGCACATTGCTTTAATACATTTTTCATTCAAGTGCACAGTCCATTGTTTGTTTGTGCATTACTGCCACTGTCTGTTCATCAGTGGCCAACCACTGATAAGTGGCTTAGCATTAAAACTGCCGGAGATGAATATGCCAGGCATATGCATCCTTTTGCCTTTGTACACGGTCCAAACAAAAAGCGAATCCAATGACAAAAACACTGCATCAAAGCACTTGTAGTGGTTAAAAACCCACAGAGCACCTTTACAATAGAAGACCACACCAAACTTAATGATCAGCTCAGGATTTGTTGAATAGAGGTGCATTTCCCATCTCCTATCACTGTATTTCAGTATTTGTGTGGAATAACTTTCCTCCCTTATTTCATATATTTGTACAGTGCCAGTATTAACATTTGTTTCATGGGATTGTGTAACAGTATTACAGATATTGAAAAAGAAGGAAAATATGACTGAAAAACATGTATTTAAAATTTAGTAATGCTTAATTCTTTCCATCTTTTCATTTCAAGCCACGGACTGTACCATTATAGTATTATTACCAATGATGCTTCTAGTGAAAGGTATTGACTTACACAAAGGAGCCACTGTGTCCTGCCAACACTAGTCAGCTATCACATCACACAACACACCCTTTTTTAATTCCTGATGAGGCACCTGTTTTGAAAAAAAAATGTCTGGTATGCGTGTGGTCACATGCCATTTTGTACAGTACCTGCGTGATTTAGATTTTGTGTCAAATAAAAACAATTTTAGGCAGAGTTTCAACATGGGATAAAACAGATGAGTGAAGGTTTGTTTGTGTTGTTTATGTTCTTGTAGGTGTGCTTACACCACCATCATCACATTTACACACTCTTAAATGCACATCTTAACCAGATTAAGTCATCAGATGAAATGTAAAAATTTTGTGAATAATATTATGTGATGGTTGTAAGATTAAATCTTGGTTGGGGTGAAATTGCATTTGAAAATACTGCTACATAGGAAGGATTTCAGAGCCATTTTGGACTCTGAGCCAATGAAAAGTGCTTCTCTGTCATGCTTACCAATACCAGACACTTTTTTTTTTTTCACACGTCATCAAGATGGAAAACGAGTTTGACTACCTTGAAGATTCTAAATGCTTCCTGTTTAACAAGTCATTAGTCTCAAATGTCACCTATGCCCTTCTGTGGCTCAACCCCAAGGCTTCCTACTGTTCATTTGATTTACAAACACAGTGTAAACACAGTACTTTACCTTCTTGGTAGATGTTCAAGCTCTAAGTGGAAAACACTGTCTCCGGCCTCCAGCACATCAAGCTTTAATAACATGATTTTTTTCAGTCTTATATGGTTGAAATCTTGAACATTTGCCTACTCTGAATTGCATTATTTTTCAGTCAGTAGCCTGTAACTTGGGTTTCATTTCTCAACATACTGTAGTCACATGTATGTGGCGTCTAGAGAGTTCATGGCATTGTTTTTCCTCTTCCCTTTGGAGCCCCCACACGATATCAATGTGACTTTTCCCTGTAGAGACCCCACATGATATCTATGTAACTTTTCCCAGTGGAGACCCACTCTTCACCAACAACACCTTACAAACTTGTGTAATTGAGTGTGTAATTTGGTGCTTGGTCTTACCTTATCACCTCTAAATCCACGTTCTCCCTTGTAGAACAGTAATGTAAAATGTTTTGTAACCTTGCAGCCTGTAGTCTTAATTGCAGATTTTATCCAAGTTATCCAAACATTGCCCTGAATAACAACTATAGCTTTTAAAAATGAATAAGGAGGACTCAGAGGCTTATCATTTCATGAAATTCCTAAAGACTACGAAAAACATCAAGGGTGACCTTCAGATAGTGGGTTATTATTTAAAAAATGGTTATTTGGATTTGATTAAAATAGTTTCATATATGTTAATAATTAGGCACTTCAAGGGCCCTCCAGCCACATTCAGTGCAGTTACATGTGCAGTCATGTGCTTCTCCTTTGTTCTGGTACACGCCCTTTCACAGATTTACCCTGTCACACACAGGTGGAGCTACCCACATAAGCAGGAGGCGAGGTTAGAGACAGGTGAAGGTTGTTGTTACATTCAGCCTTTGCAGTTACTGCGGCGTCACTGAAGGAGAGTTTTTCAGTTACTGTGTTTGAGTGTGAATTTCTTCTGTTTTACTCCCATAACCGACTGATGGAAAGGTCATCCTGCTAGGGGCCACCTAGCGACATGTCCTTCATAAGTCAGATAACAAATCATTTGACCATTTAAGAGGACAGACGCAGCCAGGTAGGTCTAGTGGTTTATTGCAACATTATTAATGTATTATTAGGAGGAAATGTGGTGGAGCTACTCAGAAAAAATTTCAATGAGTTTCATCACAAATTGAGTCATTCTTCTTTCATTCAGATATAACATAATGCATGTGCACAGATTAGTCAACTATAATGATTGTCAGTAACAGTTTGATTTAAAAAAATAAAATGCGATGTGAAACACCAGACTACTGTAAATGTAAAAACCCCTATACACAAAGTCCACTTAGAAGCTGTTCTGGGACTTTGGATTATTTCACACAATTGTCATCAGCAGAGAGAGTTTCCCAGTTGTCACAGAAGTGTAGATTTATTGTAGAGTTACATTCCTCTCAGCAGTTTAAGAACTTGTCCATGTTGGCTTAAAAAAAATGAACCTCAAATCTTAATTATATATATACTTTATGCAATTAAACCATGCTGATACATGGACCTGAAACAAATTCCACCTACATGTGTGTGGTCATTAAAAAAAAACTATTATTTGCATCAACTATTTGTCAGTGAACTGATTTTTTTTTATATAATGTGTCTTCACTCCAGCCTCCTCTACCGATGGCATTCTTCCAACAGCTGCGACTTCTTCTCTGGAAGAACGGGTTGCAAGTTATCAGACAGCCGGTGAGTGACTTTCAAATGCAGCTATATGGAGCTATTTTTTCTATTTTCATGTGAGCACGCTGATCTGTATTTAATAGCTGTATTTAAGTGTTTTTACAGACTGAATACTAGAATGAATAAACTCTTCATGAACTGATTATCAGTGTTTTATGATATATTGTAGGCATGGTCTCTGACTCTCATCGCCTGGCCTCTGGTCATCTTCATCATCATAGCCGTGACCCGCAACCAGTTTCCTCCAGTGGTAAAAGATACATGTAAGTGTAAAAGTGAATTGAAAAGTGCTTTGATGCAAGTTTGTGTGTAGTTAATATGTTTTTCAATGGCTATTCATCACAAATACACTTCTTTGCAAAGACAAGTCTTGATATTAATTGCAAACAGGATAATGCTCTACAATGTAAAAAAAAACGTAAAAGAAACCCTGGCACTACCAAACATAAACCCTTTATAAAGGTAAATATAACACAATTAAAAAAACACAATGAAAACACTTTTTATAAATATTACACTTATGTCCTATAGACTCTATGCAGAGTATTTTCAAAGTATTACAGTACAACAGGTCTTTAAATGATTCTGACATTATATTAAGTTTCATAAAGACTAGAACTAGAATAGGATCCAGTTTGCCTTCACACAAAGTTGAATCAACATGGAGCATAGTTATACACTTGGAGACACTCCAATTTTGCAGTCAAAGTAAATAAAAAGAACTCAACTCCAACAAAATCAGTCCTTTGTATTCGGGGGGGAGGGGACGGGGTGGTGAACCAGAACTTCATTCTGGTTTAAACTGTAACCAATTAACCCTCCCACTTTTGTTTGTTCAGTCTTTCTTGATGGATCACATTCAATGGATGCAGGGATTCACATGTAATTTGATAACCCCAATGTGCACTAGTATAGAAAGAATCCTGCTAAGCTGAACAATACAACCTTCCCTCCACAGTTAAGTGCTTCATATGCATGCTGGAAACAGGCGCACCATTGGACCACACCCACAAACAGGCAACAAAAGCATCTTCAGTATCTGATCAGACTGAATGTGTGACACTAGAATCATGTTGTATAAAGGTGGAAAATACTCTGCAGTCTAAAGTAATCTCAAACTGTTTACTTTTAATGTACGGACTGCTGTTTCTCACAGAGTTACTTAGTGCCATTAAATCATTCCCCGTGATAGTAGAATTATATTATATGATGTGCATTATACAATAGAAGTGTATAACTATAACTATTTTTTTCCTTAAGATGACTCCTGTTGTATTTGGAGACATGTGCTTTAGTGTATATGTTTGTTTTTTGCCATTGTTGAACATTAGTAATGCTCTTAAATGCTGAAATGTAACATTTGCATCTTGCTAGATTGTATTGCCTCCCATGTTTTCATCTTAAATGATTCATTACAAAGCCGTTCCAATTATTGGTTTTGTGCATGGATACAAAGCTGTTGCGTTTCTTGACAGTTTGGCAGTTTAAATACTGACCGTTTAACTCTCATGAGTCAGTGTTTTGCAGTCTCACGCAGTGTAAACTGAACATTTATTCTACACAAGTGGCTGTGCAAGTGTGGATGTTAGCTGTGAGGTCTGATGTAATTCAGCTCTTCAGAGTTAGTTTATGTGACATAGGTTTCACAATGTCTCCCATGAGCGCCATGACAAAGCTTAGTGAAATACTGTTTGCCAGGCTATTATTCTCCTTCAGAGGAATCTGTTATGCCAAGTAGAAACATTGCTTACCGAGATAATATTGACAGAAATACCAGAGAGGCACTGTACTATGTAGTCAGTCTGGTCACAGTGGCATGACTGCAACCTGCTTGACTACAACCTGATCTTGTGTTTTATGTTTTATATTCTTTT